TAATATAATCGTGTGAACGAATATCAATGGCCTGGTCAATCCAGTATGAAGAGAACGATTCATAAATATTTTAAAATAAAAATACTTATTTACTAGTAGCATGAAATTGGTGGCTAAAAAGGTGGCATGAAATGAAACTCGGTGTTTGGGTCTTTGGGAATTGGGATAAACAATTAGAATGAGTATTTTGCACTAATATATATATATATATATATTTAATGAACAATTAGATGGAAATTTATTTACCCAACAAAGATAAAAAGAATTACTTTCAATAATTTTTTAGCATTTAATAAGGATTAAAAGACAAAAAATGAATCTAAAAATATTAAAGTATCTTATAAATATGATTAAAATTAATTTTTTTCTTTTTTCTATAAATAGGATCAAGAGAAATATAAGATAAGACAATGTCTGCTCTCTAGTAGAACCTAATTATCATATAACAAAATGCCTTTAAAATCTTCCTTCAAAAATTTTTAAAAAAGGTTTATTATTTTAACAACTGACGTCATTGTAAATATGTGGAGAATTGATATTGCCCCGACTAAAAATGAAGAACAAAGTTCAATAGTTCTGACTAATTAGAAGCCAAAGTAGCAGTGATTGAAAATTTTTTGTCCAACAAAAAATTTTTATAAAAACATTTCAAAATCAAAAAATAGGAAGCCCAATATAGTCCCAATGAATTATAGGAGGAGGTTTCCTCAAAGTTTTCACCCACTGAATTATGGGAGGAGGTTTCCTCAGAGTTTTCACTTTTTTTACCTTTAAATTTTCCTCAAATTTTACAAAATATCATTTGAATTTCATTACAGTGCCAGTGTTACACGTACTATCACTCCAATAAAAAAAATATGCACGCACGGGGATATTGTATCTGATAATTAATCAATATATTGTGTACAATTAAAAATCCATTATTTTTTATTATTTATTAATATAATATTAATCTATTTTGGGAAAGTGACAATAAAATTTTCAAAATTATATAAATAACAATCTGTTCCCTCAAAATGCCATAATTGTATTAAAATCTTTAGGAACTTCTGTATCAATAAATTTTAAAGTGAAAAAATCATTTTATCCTTATTGAAAATAACAAGCCTCAATTATAACTTTTGCTTAAAAAATAATAACTATTATTCTATAAATGATAAGAGTTGAACAAAAAATCATAACTTATCATATATGATTTTTGCTATTGAAAAATAAATTCTTAAAATAACAAGCTCAAATTATAACTTTTGCTTAAAGAATAATAACTTTTATTATGTACAACTTGTCAAATGTAATTTATGTTATTGAAAAATAAGTTATCAAAATAGCAAGCCCCACTTATAACTTTTGTTCAAGGATTAATAACTTTTGTTCAAAGAATCACAAGAAAATAAGAAATCATAACTTGTCAATATAGATAAAATGATTTCTTTAATTTAAAATTTATAAATAAGAAAGTCTCTAGAGACTTCAATAGAATTATAGTATTTTGAGAAACTAGATTGTCATTTATACAATTCAGGAAAATTTTATTATCATTTTCCCATCTATTTTTTATTGAAAATATTTTTAAACTTGTATTTTTAAAAATCAATTACATATTTTCTTACAATACATAAAACAAGAGAAAGTTTCTTTTTGGCCATCAATAGAGACGAACATTTTTAGAAGCAAAGAACATTCATAGTGTGAAATTCATGTTAGCAGCCACGTTTATTTTTAAGAGGGTAATATTAGCAGCCATTTGTGTTTGAGTCTAATTTAGCAGCCCCCCACATATCCGACCCTACGTTCTCATATGGTTGTTATGTTGAAATCTTTAGAAAATACAAGGTATTAAAAATTGGATCGGTCATTCAAGACACTGAAACAAAAATTAATAGTTAAAACTACAGTCAAACTATGATCAAATAGTTCATAAATCAGCTAATACACTAATTTAATAGTTTATCAGTTCAATCAGGTGGGTTGATCTTGGATTTCCATACTATGAGAAAATATACTTTCATATCATTATACATAACTATACTATTAAATATTTTTAATCAACGGTGCAACTCAAATTTAGATTCTGATTATAGTGTAAAGGTTTAAAGCTCTATCTAGTCTTATATGTAAGGGAAAATGTGATAATACATTTCTTAATATAATCCCTCTGTAGTTACAACAAGTTGTTAGCATGTTTTTAATTTTTATGCAACAATTTATTATGACTATTAATGGCAAAATTAAAGGTTACTTCATTTAAATTTGGATATTGTGCATATTGAAGACAAAAGGAAAAATTAGAGAGAGGGATCTAATAGTACTAAAATTTATTATAAAGGATCATAAAAATTAAAATTTGGATGAAGGATAAAGGTAAGTAATTGATTATTATAATCTTAGTTACAATCTTTCAATAATATGCCATAATATTATCACATGGTATTGCACAAATTACAAGAACATTATTTTAAAAATAAGGTAGGGCAGTTTTCAATTCCATACACAAAAAAAAATAGCATTGAATTTAATTAAATCATTATAATATAATTTAGGATAAATGAGTAAATTACACCCTTAATTTTAGGTCTGGTAACACCATAAATTTTAAATTGGTTTATTATGTAAATTATTCTCTCAACTTCAATTTTGAAAATGATGCAATCTGGCCTTTATTGTTAATAAAAGTTAACTTTGACGATTAATTGATTAAAAAAGGACCTAAAAAATTATAGAAAAAGAACAAAAAATTTTGGATCATTGTCTGTAATTTTTGGGTGTATTAATTTATTATAATTTTTCTATCATTTTTTGTAATTTTTGAGGTTATTTTCTATCATTTTTCAGTTAACTAGTAGTCAAATTTAACTTTTATTAATGATAGAACCAAATTACACCATTTTTAAAAGTTGAGAGAATAATTTACACAATAAATGAGTTCAGGACTTATGGTGCTATTGGACATAAAGCTTAGAGGATAATTTGTTCATTTATCCTATAATATAAAAAATCTTTACTTTTAAATAATTGAATCGATATAATTTTAAAATGTTTACTATTAAAAAATTAAATTAATATAATTTAAAAATTTTTTCTTTTAAAGAATTATTCAATTTTTCCATAGATGCCCCACTAATTAATGCCTTGTTTCAATCTTTGGACTCGTGAATTTGTAAGAGATGAGAATGAGATCATAAACTTGTTTTTGGGCCAAGATGAGATCATCAACTTCTCGTGGGTTTCTAAGGTATTATCGCTCTTTTTTGGTTTAATTTGTTAATTTTCATTTCCTTGCTATATATATATATATATATATAAGAAATAATTTTATCTCAAATAATGTGTTTTTTGTTAGTAACTATATATCAAATTCAACGTGTGAGATGCGGTTAGAAAAATGTAGGAGATTTGATTAGGGAAATTAAATTTCATACTTTTATATATAATTTATATTTTTCTATTTGGTCCTTTTAAATAATTATTAATTATTAATTTTAATATTTTCTCCAATAAATATTATCTTTTCCAGGTATTTTCCTTGTCTTGATGAACCACGTACGCTAATACGCTATTATGATTTATTTTATAATTAATTTTCCCTTTAACTTTATTTATATCTTTTTCAAAATATACATGTCACCTTATTTTTAATTTATTTTTAAATTAATCTTCTTAAAAATAATTTGATTGGTGTATATAATAAGTTATTTTTTATAATATACAAGGTAGCTATTGATTACACATTAAAAATAATATTAAATACTACTCTCTCTGTTAAAAAATGTAAGGCATTTTTTGAGGAGTTAAATGTTAAAAAATGTAAGGTATTTAAGGTGTAATCATTATCTTTTTGATGAATGACTTTATATTTATTGTAGAGTATTTAATAGGGGTAAATATAAAAAATAAGATTAATTTGAAAGTAGGAAACTATTTTATTAAAAAATAAAATTTAATTAAAAATATCTTACATTTTTAAATGGAGGGAGTATATATTTGTGGGCATGTGTGTGTGTCTAATAAGTTATTTTGGAGTTATTGAAAAGTTATTTTGACCAAATAATTTTTGTTACTCAACCAAGTAAATATACCCGGAGAATTCATTTCATTTGACATCATCTCATTAAAATTTAGTGACGTATTTTCGTGAAATTTTGAAGTCAAGTGAGATAAAGATTTGAGAAGGACAGGTATTGAAGGCTTGAAGCCATAGATATGATACTTAATACCTAGACTCATAATTTTAGGTACCCTTTGAATTGATGATTTATATTTAAATTCTAGATTTAAAATCTTACATTTAAAATTTCTATATTTATATAATTTATTTGTGTTGTTTAAAAATTTTCAGATGAATAATATAGATGAGTTGAAATTTGAGATGAAAATAAAAAATTATAAGTAATGAGTTTTCCTATATTTTTCAAACGATAAGAGACAAAAATAAAATATAAAAATAGATACAAGACTCATAAATTTATCAATAATAAAAAACAAAGAAAATAAAAGGTTTGAAATGATTGGAATTTCAAATTATTATAAAGAAATTATAATAATAATTGAATTTGAATATAAATACATAAATTTTGTGTATTCAAACAAGAAATATATTAGGTCCAAATCAAAATCCACATTTTCACTAATCCAAACTCAGTATTAAAAAAGAATAAATTATGCTGCCGCTGATACGTTTGCTAGTTATTTATTCTTCCCAGAGTTACAATTTGGCCTTCTATCTATTGGTACTCTAAACCTCTCGATCCACATACTAATATAATTTTATAAATTGCCAACAAGAACATTGAAGGGCACAAGCAAATTTTTTTTTTTTTTTGGGTTGCTCAAACTAAAGTAGAGTAAAATCTTTAGTCCTTCAAAGAATTACAATTTTTTTTTTTGACTGCCCAAGAGCTAATGAACAAAAGAATGCAGAAAAAAAAAGAAAAAAAATAATGCAACCAAATCACAATATTTACACTATCTGAATTATCTCAGTCTCTCACCCTCACGCCTCACTAGCTCTTCCTTATCCGCTTAAGCTTCGAAGGATGCTCGCCGCCGCCGCCGCCAGCAGCAGCGGCCATGGCGAGGTGGCTGTGCTTTCGAGTTGCTCCAACCGAATCCCACACGTTGGAGCCCACAAGGAGAGGAAAATTAAGCTTGGCTTTAGCTCCACGCATCTCATAAGCTGCTCTGTCATAAGCTACAGCTGCATCCTCAGCTGCATCATAACTTCCAAGCCAAACCCTACCACCATTTTTAGCCGGATGTCTGATCTCCGCCGCGTATTTCCCCCAAGGCCTCCGCCTAACACCCCAGTAATGGTGGAAACTTCAGGAACTAGTTCATTGATGCAATGAATGTCATACATTGAACTCTGGCCGTGCAATGGGACCTGGTCGGAAAGTGTTGCCGGATAAGACGGAGGCAAGTCAGCGGTTTCATTGCCGAGAAGGTGCTGTCGGATTGCTTCTAAAGCAGAAGAATGTTCAGAATCATCGGAGAGATAATGGAATCCGAACATGTAGGATTCGTTGAAGTGCTGAATCATGGATGTTGTTGAAGAGGGCATAATGCGTTTTGGTGAATTATGGGAAGATGACGATGAAGTTGGGTTTGTAGGTGAAGGGGGATTTATAGATTGAAGACAATACGTTGAATAAACCCTAGCCGCTTTGCATTTCTTTGAAGCTTCTTCTTCTTCTCCCACGTTTGTTTGAATTCAAGATTCCAAATACATGGACAAAATCACGTAGCTAAATTTATGAGCTTATTTATATATATATATATATAGAGAGAGAGAGAGACATGAATATGAAGAAAGGATAAAGGAATGCTTCAATTTAAAGCGAAACGATGTCTGGCTTCTCAACTCTTGTTCGAAAAGTTTGACCCAAAAGATGCTCAATACTTTATGCATTCCAAGGTGGTTCAGACAGGAGAAGAAGAAGATGATGAAGATTATTATTATTATTATTATTATTGTTATTATTATTAAAAAAAATTTGGTCGGTTAAATGTATTTAAAACTGGTAATTTGGGAAAAGTTGAATATATCAAAAAAAAAAAAAGATTGGGACTTTGGTTGATGTAAAAAATAAAAATAGACTTTGGTTTATGTGAATTAAATGAAGTGTTTATGAAAGTGATTCAAATACACTTTTTTTTACTTGAATTTCGTTGTCTAGGACTTCAACAAACACAAAAAAAGAAAAAGCAAACCAATAATAATATAAGCCCACTTGATTCTCTTTAATTAACTTTCTAACAAGTCGATCTCTTTATTCTGTGTCAGAAATCTGGATGACTGCTATCATACTTTTGTCAGTTCGTTCATTGTATTGGACCAACTTCACTTTCTGGATATATATTAAAAAATAATTTATATTTATAATAATATAATCATCTGAAAGTCTGAAAGAATATTTCGGATTTTGCCAATATCCGAAAACGTTTAATAATAAAGTATGCGGAAAACGTTTGATAAAGGAAAAATATAATTTTATATCTCTATATTTTATTTATATTTTATTGTCAGTCTTTGTATTTTTTTGGGTATTTTTTATTTTTCTGTAGTTTAAGGTCTTTTATAAATAAAGTGTAGAGATCTTAAAGAGATGTAAAACATCAAAAACTAAAAATATAATGATCTAAACACCGAAAAAAGTGTAGAGATTTATAATAAAGTACATATAAAATGTAGAAATTTAAAATTATATTTTTTTAATAAAAATATTTATTTATTACGGAGAACGTGTGAAAGAGAGATTAACGTTTCATAAAATTATCAAAAAAAAATTAAAGAAATTTATCTATTAATTTTTTTACCACTACTTATTTATTAGTTCAACTGGCATGACTTGAAACTTGGATTTTTTAAACAATATTTTAAAAACATTTAATAATTGAATATTATGAAGTGCAAAATACACAGTACCAATAATAGAATATTTTATATGATAATTAATCAATCAATATTTATATATAAAACGAAAATCCCTTATTGTCCGTAAATAATATGATATTATTAGAAATAATATCCTTTAATTTTTTTCAATTCTGTGCTTTTTAAAATTTCAAATATTTTCGTTCAATATAGAATAGACGATTTCTGGGGCCATCAATAGAGAAGAACATTTTAGAAGCAAAGAAAATTCAGGGCGTGAAATTAATGTTAGCCGCCACGGTTATTTTAAGAGGAAGTGAAATTAATTAATTAATTAATTATCAGGAAGCAACTTGTAAAGAAGTACTTCCTCTTGTCTTTATTATAAAACACTTTTAATCATTCTGCGCATATTAAAAAAATTTAGGTTTTATCTTGATATCAAAAAAAGTTATATATATTTTTATTTTTATCCTTAAGTTTAAATAACAATGCAACTATATTAAATATTTTCACGCTAATTAAAAAGAGGTAAAATTAAAAAAATAATTTAATTATTATAAGGTATATTATATTTTGAATCAAATATTACTTTTAGAAGGTATTTTATAAATAGAATTGGAGGGAGTATGTTATTATTTTGAGGCTAATTTAGAACCCATCCTAAGTGGCTCCAACGATAGGTCCTTGAAAATCATTTCTTTCTTTGATGGCTTCAAAAAACTTATCCTCAGCTTGCTCATCAAATTTTGAATGATACTATCAACATCTTAATTTTTGATGATTCTCTACTTGAATGTCACATTCTTATTGATCTTGATTTGACCTAATTTTTGTTGCACGATTATCCATGGCCTTATGTTAAAAAAAAAATTAGCCCCAACAAGTATATTTTTTTAACGAAAAAAAAATACCTCCATGTTTATATATAGGTGTGAAAGTAGTTATCACCTATTTTAGGCTTGCCTTTTAATAAATAATATTAAAACATTTAATAATCGAATATTATAAAGGGCAATATACAGGGGCCTCCACCCTTGCCAATTTTAGGCTTGACTTTTAATAAATAAACACAATTTAAAGTTATGCTATGATATATTCTTGCTATCCTTCTTATAAGTTATTTTTACTGATATCATTAATATTAATATAAAAAAGTAAAAAAATTTAAAAGTATATAAAATTTTAAATATGTTCATATATAACAAATCTTAAAAATGACATTATGTTATTTTTTCTCTCTCATAAAAAGTAATTTTAAAAATATATTTTTAATATTACCTAAAAAACCGTACAATGACTCATAAATGAAACAAATGGACCTTTATAATGTGCCTTATAAAAGGGATTAAAGGGAGTAATACAATAGAGTAAAAAGAACACGATTGAAGACATGTTATTGGGAAGCAAAAACAAAGTTTCATTTAATTAAAACTGTGTTTTTTCCTTATCTTTATTTATATTTTTTTCAAAATATACATGTCATTTTATTTTTAATTATTTTTAAATTAATCTCCTTAAAAATAATTGGATTGGGTATATATAATAAGCTATTTTTTAGAATATACAAGGTAGATTTATTACACGTTAAAAATAATATTAAATACTATATATCTGCGGGTATATGTACATATAATAAGTTATTTCGGAGTTATCAAAAAGTTTTTGACCAAATAATTTTTATCACTCAACCAAGTAAAGTATACCCAGAGAATTCATTTCATTTGACATCATCTCATTAAAATTAAGTGACGTATTTTTGTGAAATGTTGAAGTCAAGTGAGATATAGAGTTGAGAAGGACAAGCCTTGAAGGCTTGAATCCATAAATATGATACTCAATACCTAGTCTTATAAATTTAGATAGCCTTAGGATGGATGGATTTATATTTGAATTGTAGATTTAAAATATTACATTTCAAAACTCACATTTAAAATTTATGTATTTATATATTTTTTTTGGACAGTTTAAAAATTTTCAAATGAATAAGAGAAAAGACTTGAGATTAGAAATGAAAACAAAAAAATTAAAAGTAGTAAGTTTACCTCTAGTTTTCAAATGAAAAACAAGAATGGGATATAATAAAAGATACAAGACTTATAGAAACATTAATATTAAAAAAATTTAAAAAAAAACTAGAAGTTTGAAGTTTTAAAATATAGAGAGAATTTAAAATTATTATAAAGGAATTAGAATAAGAATTGAATTTGGATATAAATTCACAAATTTTTGTGTATCCAAATAAGGAATGAGGTCCAAATTCAAATCTAAATTTTCATTAAACCAAACTTACTATTAAAGAAGAGTAAATTATGCTGCAACCACTGATACGTTTGCTAGTTATTTATTCTTCCCAAAGTTGCAATTTGGCCTTCTATCTATTAGTACTCTAAACCTCTCTCGATCCACATACTAATATAATTTCATAAAATGCCAACAATAACATTAAAGGGCACAAGTAAAATCTTTAGCCCTTCAAAGAATTACAATTTTTTTTTTATCAAAGGCCAAGAGTTAATGAACAAAAGAACGCAGTTCACAAAAAAAGAAAAAGAAAAGAAAAAAAGAATGCAACCAAATCACAACATTGACACTATCTGAATTATCTCAGTGTCTCACCCTCACACCTCACTAGCTCAACCTTATCCGCTTAAGCTTCGAAGAATACTCGCCGCCGCCGACAGCAGAAGCGGCTGTGGAGAGGTCGCGGCGCTTTCGACTCGCTCGAACCGAATCCCACACGTTGGAGCCCACAAGGAGAGGAAAATTAAGCTTGGCTTTAGCTCCACGCATCTCATAAGCTGCTCGATCATAAGCTATAGCTGCATCTTCAGCTGTATCATAAGTTCCCAGCCAAACCCTAGCACCGTCTTTAGCCGGATCTCTGATCTCTGCCGCGTATTTCCCCCAAGGCCGTCGCCTAACACCCCGGTAATGCAGTTCAACTGGGGGCGCGTTACACTCACGCGCCACAACAGCATCAACGTTGATACTGTTATTAATGGTGGAAACTTCAGGAACTAGTTCATTGATGTAATGAATGTCATACATTGAACTCTGGCCTTGCAATGGGACGGCGTAGGAAAGTGTTGCCGGAGAAGAGGCAGGCAAGTCGGCGGTTTCGTTTCCGAGAAGGTGCTGTCGGATTGCTTCTAAGGTAGAAGAATGTTCAGAGTCATCGGAGAGATAATGGAATCCGAACATGTAGGATTCGTTGAAGTGCTGAATCATGGATGTTGTTGAAGAGGACACAATGCGTTTTGGTGAACTATGGGAAGATGACGATGAAGTTGGGTTTGTTGGCGAAGGGGGATTTATAGACTGAAGACAATACGCTGAATAAACCCTAGCCACTTTGCATTTCTTTGAAGCTTCTTCTTCTTCTCCCACGTTTGGTTGAATTCAAGATTCCAAATACACGGAAAAAATCACGTGGCCAAATTCATCAGCTTTTATATATATATAGACACACATGAATATGAACAACGGATAAAGAAATGCTTTCATTTAAAAGCAAACGATGTCAGGCTTTTGAACTCTTGTTCGAAAAGTTTGACCCAAATGATACTTAATACTTTATTCATTCTAAAGTGGTTAATAAAATTATTGTTACCATTATTATTACTATTATTATTATTTAAAACCAGTAATTTAAGAAAGTTAAATATATATATATATATATATATATTTATCCAAAAAATTTTAAGATTGGGACTCGAAGAAATATTATTTATTTTAACATTTGGACTAGTGCAAATTAACTTTGATAAAATACAAGTGAAGCCCGGTTCTCGAATATTTTGTTTTTTTTATTCTTTATAAAATATATATTAAATATTTATCAATCCTTTAAGACTTAAGGCATTTTATGCAAAGAGATCATGCCATCATGCTTAATTGAGTATATTATTATAAATATTTTTTAAAAAATTAAAAAGTCCCTATAGTTATATTTCTATCATTTTTAATTTGTAATTGAGGTTGATTTTTAATTTTACCATCAACTGTTTTTCTTTCAAAAATTAAGCGTTCAACATTTTTTATGCGTACCAAATTGTATATTGTATATATTTTTATAATACTAACAATAATTAATTTTTTTAAAAAATTAAATCTGGCTTAAAATGAGGGGAGCCTCTAAAGCCCAAAAAATGTTAGGGTCGTCAGCTATTTTGATTTTTCTATTAGTTTGAGTTTATTTAGGCTGATTCAAATAAACCCGCCCTTGAATAAGCTCTCACCATGTTCAAATTACATAAGCAATTTTAAACAATGCTGCTTATTTTTCATGCATGTTTCACAGCCAATAAAATATAAATGACCACCACCATTAATTGGGTGTAGTAGAAAAAACTTGTATATATTACAGCATGGTGAACTAGAAAAAATATTCATATTTAGTGCCAAATGACAACATTTGAGGCAAAACATAAATAGAACGCACTGTTTAAATAATATTCCAAATCAAAAAAAATTCAACAATTTAAATTTCATATGAAAATGACATACTTATTAATTATTATGAAAATAAGTAGAAAATCCAATCTTGGAAAAAATCTGCTTCAAATTGGGGACTAATTAATGATATTTATTGTTTCTTTAACTTCGTCAATAATTATCAAAATATTAATTGTTTGAATTTTATGCGAATGAATCATAATTAAGGCAACTCGTCACCCACAGATAACTTGCTCTATTAAATTTTACATTTGAGACCAAAGATTTTATATTTCTAGAAAAAAATTAGCCCTAAAATGTGTGTTTTTTATTAATAAAGATGTACAATTTTCAATTCTAGATTTTTTAATATTTGAAATTAATTATAAATTTTTATTTTATTATTCTCGACCTTCATTTTTTAAAATTCAACTTTGAAAATTTATTTTTAATAGATATTCATTTTTGTTACTCAGGTAACTGAACTTGTGTTTTGGCCAAAAAAAAAAAAAGGTAACTGAACTGGTGTTAGTAAAAAAATAGACTTTCGTTTATGTGAATTAAATGAAATATTCATGAATGTGATTCAAATACACTTTTTTCACCCGAATTTCGTTGTCTAGGACTTGAAAAAAAAAAAAAACCCAATAATAATACAAGCCCACTTGATTATTTTTTAATTAACTTTTTTTAACAAGTCGATCTGTTTATTCTGTGTCAGAATGACGGCTATCATATTTTTTGTCAGTTCGTTCATTGTATTGGACCAACTTCACTTTCTGGATATATATTAAAAAAAATAATTTATATTTATAATAATATAATCATGTGAAAGTCTGAAAGAATATTTCGGATTTTGCCAATATCTAGTGTGCAGTGAACGTTTAATAAAAATACTTATTCTCTTTTCATTAAAAAATATAAGATATTTTTTAAAAAATTAAATATTAAAAAACATAAAGTATTTTTAGTCTATCGAGATATTTTTTCAAAAATACCCCTATTAATAATAATTTTATATTTATTGTAGGGTGTTTAATAGAGATAAATATGAAAAAATAATGTTAGTTTAAAAGTAAGTAACTACTTTATTGGAGAGTGAGATTTAATTAAAAATGTCTTATATTTTTGAAAGAAGGAAGTATTTGTTAGAGAGAATGTGTGAAAGAGAGAGATTAATGTTCTAGAAAGTTATCAATATTAATTTTTTTTAACACTACTTATTTATTAGTTCAAGTGGCATGAATTGAAACTCGGATTTTTTTAAACAATATTTTTAAAACATTTAACAATCGAATATTATGAAGTGCAATATACTTAGTACCAATAATGGCATATTTTAGATGATAATTAATCAATCAATATTTATATATAAAACTAAAATCCCTTATCGTCTGTAAATAATATGATATTATTAGAAAATAATATCCTATAATTTTTCCAATCCTGTGCTTTTTAAAATTTTAAACATTTTCATTCATTATAGAATAGATTATTTTTGTTTTTCAGGGCCATCAATAGAGAAGAACATTTTAGAAGCAAAGAAAAATTCAGGGTGTGAAATTAATGTTAGCCGCCCCAGTTATTTTAAGAGGAAGTGAAATTAATTAATTAGCAGCAAGCAACTTGTAAACAACTATGCATTATTTTGAGGCTGACTCAGCAGCCATCCTACGTGGTTCCGACCGTACGTTCTTGAAAATCATTTCATTCTTCGATGGCTTTAGGAAACTTACCCCCGAAGTGTACTTTCTTAAGGAAACAAAAAATCTATACCTCCATGTTTGTACATAGGTGTGAAAATAGTTAGGACCTAAGCACAAAGGCCTCCATCCTTGCCTATTTTAGGCTTGACCTTTTAATGAATAAACAGAGCTTAAAATCATGCTATGATAGGGTTGTGCAAAAATTCAATTATCCTACCCAACTTGAATAAAGTTTGGCCTGATCCAGACTAGTAAAAAAATTAGTTTAAAAGATTAAAGAGACTAAAAAAATTAAACTAATTTCTCGAGCCCGGATCAAAAAAGACACCAAGCTATTAGATCACTTGATTCAGTCCGATCTTATAAAATTATTTTAATATAATTTTAATTATTTCAAATACATTTGAATAATTTAAAGTTTGAACTTAGCATTTTCTTTATTCACATTTCACCCTTCTATTTAATATAATTTTAATTTAGTTTGCTTCTAAATTGTTGTGTTGTAATGTATGTTAGACATGATAAAGTTTGTTGAATATTGTTATTATTAAAGTTATAAATTTGAATAATTTAGATTGTAATTGAAATATTTTATTGTTGTTATTGTTAGAGATTGTTATGAATTTTTTTATGATTATAAGTATTTTTATTATCTTAATTGAGTTTATCAAGATAAAATAAATTGTTATATCTCATACAGAAAAAAAAATAAAAGTTCAGTGAGAACTAGACTACTAGTGTAATGACCAGGAAAAAAATATAATAAATACTAATAATAAAATAAAATTAATTAATTATATCATTAAAAGGTGTTTAAAGTTTATTTTTATTATTTTTAGAGCAAATATATCAAGGAGAAATTGTGGCTTAGTGGACTTTATGCAAACTACATTATTGATAGGTCCTAAATTTGAATTTTCATGAGGCCAAGAGTGAGAATTTTACCTTTTAACTTTAACTTAAGGTAAAATTATGAAAATGCCCTTCTGTTAATTAAATAAATTAAGGGAGAAAGAGATAAGGAGCAGAGCACATTTCTCTTCCATTTGGGATCAGATTCAAGAACCATCGAGAGAGAGAGAGAGTCAGAGATCAGCCGAACTGGGGGGGTCACCTCCGCCGTCTCTGTCTTATTCTTCCTCCTTCATCGTCTTTAACGTCGCCAATGGTGTGTGCGCTGCTGTCGTCTGCCCCACCTGCAGCAGCTTCTTTCTCCTTTGTTTCTTATCATTAAGCTCTTGCCTTTTCTTCTCCATTCTGTCCGATCGAAGGTGGTAAGCATGTTAAATGATGGGCTGTTGTTGGAGATCCAACAATGTTATTGCTGTTTTGGGGATCATGGAAGCTACCGATCTCTTCTCCTCCTCATTTACGTGCCATCGTTCGAGTTCTTTTTCTATTCTGTATGCTGATTCTTCTTCCTTCTTGCTCTGTTCATCCGCTTGAGATCTTGCTTCTTTGCTTTGTCACGTTGAGTGAGGTAAGATGCTTCAATCCTTCTTATGATTTTGCTGTGGCTGTGACATTCCTTGCCCTGTTTTACCATGAGATTTGTGGAGGGGGAGAATTTATTTAATTTATTAATTTATCAAATAATTTATTTATTTTTCTTTTTTTAGTTAAGATCGATTTGAGGAAATGGAATTTAGGAAGCTGATTATTTATATATTTATGTTAAAGAAGTTTTGAGAAGATTAAATCAAAGAGGAAGATTGGTTTGAGTTTAAGTGTGAAGGCACAAAAGGTGCTTGACAAAATGATTGTTAGGTAATTTTGTATTTTTTCTAAAAGTTCATTAATCCTTTTGAAAAGCATGTTTAGTTTAGGTGTTATTGATTCATGAATTTAATTTGTAGGTTGCAAATTAAAGGAATTTGATTATGAATTCATAACTCCTGAGGATAGTATGGTTATGGATAAATTGTTGGATAAAGGCTGGAAGATTAGAAAATTTTAATTCCATGGTTGGAATAATGCACCTAAACTGTTTGATGCAAATATTTAGAGAAAATTTTATCTCAAGTAAATAGGTTGATATGGCTAAAGTATTATAGAGGAAATTAATGACATGAATGATAATGCTTTGACAATGTTAATTGTAAATTTAATTGGGTTTTATCATAGGAGTTTATGTAGGAAG